TCTTTAACACACGGAACCCGAAGCCAATTGGAACCGGCAGCCAATCGGACCCTTTGACACCCGGAACCCGAAGCCAATTGGAACCGGCAGCCAATCGGACCCTTTGACACCCGGAACCCGAAGCCAATTAGAACCGGCAGCCAATCGGACTCTTTGACACCCGGAACCCGCAGCCAAACTGCAAGTTTTCTTTTGAAAACATCACCTCATACGGTATAGTTGTGTCTCACGGTTACCTTTATAATAGGAGTGAAGACTGATCTCTGTAAGGTTGGACGTCTGGTTGTATTATGAGCATCTTTATCTGCAACATCCTACCAACCAGCTCCTAAGCATGACCAGCTCAGAGGAGCGCCCCCTAGTGGAGCCTTCCAGTCAGACAGTCAGGTAATGAACAGTGAGGTTCTGAGCAGAGTTGATGTCCAAACTCTACATTGGTTGCTGCTAGGAGAAGGATAGATTCAGATCGAACCGTTCTGCCTGCCCTAAGCGGTCTGATCGGACTCAGCGGTCCGTTCTGACCCGGCTCAGGGAGCAGGAGGCGGAGTCTTACGTTGGAACTGCTGGTGGCCGGCGCTGTGAGCAGGACGGCTGTAGCTCCCCTGGTTGTAGCTGCTGGGAGGCGGCGCGTTGCTGTACTGTCCTCCAAACTGCTGGTTCCGGTTCAGACCGTGACTGGAGGAGCAGAAAAGATGGTTTAAAATCCTCTTTGGACCAAACAGAACTTCAGCTTCTCCAAAACAAAACCCGGAAGCTCTGACCCGGTTACCGATTCCAAACTAAATGAGACTCGGACCTCTGAGCAGCTGTGGGTACGCCCCCATCAGCTGCAATCCTGACCTGGATCAGCAGACGGCGCCGAGCTTAATTACCTCCCCGACAGTCAGACTGATCCAGATGTTCAATCAGCACCATTTCCTTGATGATGATAATGAGCTGGGATGGTAATCACAGCTGGCTGATGGAGGAGCTCCAGCTTAGCCGCTGATTACAGGACAACAGGTCCTCTTTCACACCCAGAACCAAACATCAGGAGATGTTCTGCTGAGACCGGCGCAGGACGTCAGGGACGCCTGATATTAGCTAGAATCAGGACATCTTTAACAGGAACGTCCTTCTTTCTCATTTAGAAATGAGAAACAAGGCAGCTTAGTTTTATGTTTTCCCCAGTTTACATGCTTACAATTATTTAATCTTTACATGTGGAAAGAAATCGGCTAAACTAATGAAACACTACCATAACGGTTTGCTTGTAGAGCCTGACCTTGTCTTCCTTCTGATTAGATACTAATAAATTATTAATATTTAAATGCCTGAATTTCTTTTCAGGGATTAATAAATCATTATTCAATTCAATTCTCACGGCAGAATATTTAATGTCTGATCTGAAGGAGGAATGGCCGAGTGATTGTATTTGCTTCATACACCGACTTTCTCCCTCCAGACCTTTAGGTGGCAGTAATACGGATAAAATGGGTTTGCTTCCACTCAGTAGGAAAGAGAGAAAGTTGCAGCAGATCAATGAATGAGAAGGAGGAATTCTTCCACCAGAAACAGTGAAGTCCTGCAACCATGAACTTTAATGCTTCGTTCACACCGAGCTTTCAGCAGCAAAGAAGCTTCTACTGCTTCATCTCTGATGCTCATTAAGGTCAGACGTCCAGTAAAGTGAGTCCAGATGCGTCTGATGCTCCTGTGTTCAATGCAGAGAGCAGCTTTGCTATATTAGCTGGGATCATTCGAGAATAAAGTCGCAATACTACGAGATTAAAGTCGCAATATTACGAGATTAAAGTCGCAATACTACGAGAATAAAGTCGCAATATTACGAGATTAAAGTGGCAATACTACGAGATTAAAGTGGCAATACTACGAGATTAAAGTG